TTTATCCAATACTTTCACTTTTATTTGGGAGCAGCTTTCACCTGGTTTGATCTTTCATTTGCATGGAGCTGCTTCTGTGCTTTCTTTGTTGCCAAATTCATTTGATTATTTGGTTTGTTTTCCAATGAGCATTGTTGGGTGTGATGGCCGAGTCAGTTGCAATATGTAGATAGTCGGGGATGAGCTTATATTCAGTGCTTTGAACAAAGCTGTCACCATCACCCAAATCCACCTCTCTTCCGAGCACCGCATTGCATTTGACTTCCACACACACACAAATGCATTCAAGCTGTCTACCATTTTTGCGGCACTATCCACAGATACAGGGCGTCCAATCGCTGCTGCTGTACGACATAAACAGGCTGTGGATTGGCATAAGGGAGGTTAAGTAATTGGATAGAAATAGACATCATGGTCAATGCTGCAATTCTGGTAGCTTCGTCCATTCTCTCTAGCTGCAAACATACATCATGGTCCATGCTGCAATTCTGGTAACTTCATCCATTCTCTCTAGCTGCAAACATCAATCCCCATTCCAAGGACCTTTCGAAATATTGTTCATGGTTGAAGCAGAACAGGATGTGATCTTTTCCTTTACAAATGATATCCAACTTTTGTTGACCCAACAAATGAATCTAATCTTTTGGACTGCAGCTACATTGGGCCTACTCTCTACAAAGTACCAATCATGCAAGATTGGGATTCTTGCTTTGCTCGTTGAGTTTCCTCTTCCTCTAGAACATCCTTCAGCTTGCCTTCAGCAACCCTTGGTGGGTGGTGAGTTTTGGAAAAACAATGGGCTGAAAAGGGGCCCATACAACTTCAGACAATGATCTTGCATTTTTTCAATTATTGCTTGCTTGTTGGATATGTAATTTTTGCTCGTCCTCCTCCATGCATTCTGTGGAACGCATGGCAGGATTACAGTCAGATGCTTGGGAGGAGCAGGATGATGTCATGGTCGATGAAATGGGTTAGTGTAGTGGTTTATGTGCGAGGACGGGGTGAATGGAGAGTGGGAAAGGGTGGTTGATAGGTGGTGAGCAAGCTGATTTCTGTCTTTTTTATCTTGTCAACTACCACTCCAAAGACCAACACTTCGTGTATCTTATCTCTTTGAGGTGTTGAGATTATCTTTATTACAAGTTGCTTTTCTAGTACCTTGTAACCATAAAAAAAAAGCTTCACATGCGGCCCAATTAGCTAGTTTTTAAACAAACTTTATTTGCTTATCTGGAGCCTCAATGGAAACTATCCCCTTTGCCGCTTCACCAAACTTTGAACATTTAATTAAAATAAAGCTTGACGAAGGGGATCACCCCCTCCTTTTCTCCTCGCCCCTCCTCTTGAAACTCTTCCACCCACCAGCCTTCTACTCTCCTCCCCATCATATCTCGCCATCCCCACTTCTCCAACTCGCTCTCCCTTCTCTTTCCTTAGCTTCCTCAACCCCCTCCTGACCTGACATACTCAGCAAGAGAAAAATGACTCTATGACACAAGAAATCCCCCCTGAAATAGTGAATGCATGTAATGGGGATAAAGATCTCTCTCAAATAGTTGGTGGGAGCTCAAAGTCACTAAAACACCTGAAATTCTTACCCAAGCCAAAGTCTAAGAAGGAAAGGTTGCGATTTTTCAGCCTAAGCATGGAGGAGTGGAAAGTCCCTTGAGTGGTACATTCTATGGCAGATTTTTACCTTAATGAAGTGCTAAAAAAATGTACAATCTGGATGGAAGATATAAGGAAGCCTAGATATCATTGCTAATCATGGAAATAGTTTTCACTGGTGGCCCACAGTTTGTGGGAGGCCTATATATGCGTTTAATAGAATACTGCCCAAAATATGCATTGGTGGTGGCTAAAATCACCACCACGCCAGTTTGGGCACGATCACTAGCATCCCCTCATGTTCTATGGTCTCCTGACATTCTAGGTCACATCTGAGCCTTAATAGGCACTCATGTCTACATGGATAGTACAACATGGGACAAGAAACATATCGACTGCACTCGACTATGTGTCGAGATAAAACCAGGGGTGAGCAATTGACTACAATATGGGTTAATACGGGGAAGGGGATGTGTTCCACATAAAATTAAATATGAAAAGATCTTAAATGGTGTTTCCTATGTCATATTCTTGGCCATGACTCTTTGTACTTCACCAAACAGCAGAACCAAGCTAAGTATCACCAAAATTCAAGTTGGTTCCAGAAGAAGAAAAAAAAAGAAGAAGCAAAAACCAGTTCAAGAACGGAAATTGATTACAAAGAGAAAAACAGAGTTCAATCACCCCTCGATCTTCTGATGCTTCTTCCTTCTCAGGATCAACTGCTTCTTCTGCTCCTATCCCAGGCCCTTGATTTGGGGTGCTTGAATCTCCATCTGAGGTGCTTACTGATGAAACAGAGTTTGAAAAAATGAGCTATCAGAGGAAGAGGCTAAAAGAATGGCTCAGTTCTTCGAAAGATTAACAATTATTTGCAAGAGGAAAAATCGCCAATGAATGCAGATAATGAAAATGAGCTGTCCAAGGAAAAGAATGGTTCAGTTCTTTGAAATTTCAGCTCTTTTTCTTTGGAAGAAGGAAAGGCCCTGGAAATAGGAGATTGAGAGGTAGACATCGGAGCTGAGATTTCGCCAAAGTTGGGACTATCCATTTTCCAGCAGGCAAGCCACCATTTTCTGACAGGCGGAAGAAAAAGATTTCTCATTGGTCAATTCAGTTCTGTTCAAGATATGAGCTTTTCATTTGCCTGACCCAATGCAGATTTAGATCCCAAGCTGCTCATTGATTGTCTCATTTTTTGATGGAAGTTCAAATTGAAGTGTCTTTGCGTGCTACAAAAATCAGCTACCTGAAAATCCTACACAAACCCAAACTTTCAATATAATTTCAAAAAATGTCCAGTTCGTACAGGAACAGTATGCACGCACAACAGTTACAAGTGGATCCAAGCAGTGTTTCAAAAATTGCCAAGCCGGCTTGGAACTGCCCGTGTCTGCTACGATCTGGTGGACGACCGGTCCAAGTCTCCCATGGGATCAGGACTTGGACTGGTACACCCTAAAAATCATTTTTTTATCAGTAATGTATTATAAAAAATTGTGCCTAGATTTATTTGAAAATCGTAACCTTCTTTAAAAATTTTAAACAACCAAGATTTAAATATTACAGTTTTCTGAAAAAATAAATTCGCAGGTCGGATGAGCTGGCTGATCCAGCTCGGAAGCAATAGGTGCCCGGTTCAACTCACCAGTCCCATTTTTAAAACACCAGATGCAAGTAATACCAGCGAGCAGTCACCAATATGTTAAAAGCATGTAGCATACTGATGGGAAAGAATATGAGAATAGCTCAGCCCCAAAACATTATGCTACTCAAACAGAAAATACTCAGTCCATACACAAGATATCATTGTAGCATACAAGCAATACATGTTGCACAATTGAGGATGAAGGATATTGTGCTACTTGGTTGTGTATTAAATGAACAGAATGCTGCACAAACCATGAAAACCAATGCATATTCTGCCAAAATGTACAGATTGATACAAGTAGCACAACAGATCATAGTGCAAAGCATGCTACCAAGAGGCTTTTCAATAGAATGATTCTGAAAAACAGTAGCAACCCAAGAATATGGTACGACCACCCCAAAAAAACCATTAAAAGGAATAAAGAAACCTGAAATTTATGATGAAAAAAGTGAGGAAAGAAAACAAGCTAAGATAAAGAGAGATAAGAAGATGTGTTAGTGGGAGCTAGAGAGGAATGAATGGCTAAAGTGGCAGCAAAGAAAGCTCATGAAAGTTGAAATATATTTCAACATTCCCTGTCAAAGTTGAAATAAAGACAGAATATAAATCAGTAGCACGTAATAGAATCACTTAAATATGAGTATAGGGTTAGGCTTCATGCCAATGGTCTTTTGTACTGATACTCACAACTGGACTATAAACCTTAGACATGTAGTCTAGGGCCTGTAGTACATATTCTTTGAAAGTATATAACTTGAGAGATTCTCATACAAACCCCTGCTAGCTTAGCCCAAAAAAAAAAAGGTTACTTTCTAGCTAGCCACATCTCCGTGGCATTTGACCATGTGGAATAATATGGTGCTTTTCTTATTGTATCATGTAAAGATTTCTATGGCATTAGCTGTGAACATCATACCTAATACACTCCTTGAGAATTCCATTGGGATCTTATTCCACCCTTTGCGAGTGAGAACATCCTGAAAACTTATGTACAAGCCAGATGGATTTGTCAAAAATTGAAGACCTGCCTCGTTGCGAAAAGTATTTTTCATTTGATATTGACCCTGATGAGTTCAGTCCCTTGGCTAGAGTATTGGTGCTGCATGTATGCATCAATACTTCTATCTCTGGAAGATCTTGCAAATGCATTTCTTCATTTTGATTTGCAAAATGTTTTATATGATGCATGTACTTGAACTTTAGGATCCAAGGTGTGTACATGGTCTAAAGTGATTATGAAGATTCTGGTTTGAGCTCTTCAGTGCTCCTCTCTTCACTTGTATTCCAGGAGTTCGGCAGTTTCGGTTGACTCTTCTCTTTTATAAGAAGCCTGTCACAAGGTATTGATGTCATCCTTTTGCATGTTGATGACACCATCCTTACTCTTATTCTAGAGGCACATGCGAACTGGACCTTTGTGAACTCTTATTCTAGAGGCACATGGGAACTGGACCTTTGTGAACTCTTATTCTAGAGGCACATGGGAACTGGTAAGTTCATGTGTTAAGCTCCAAATGTTAGGCAAACTTGAAAAGAGTATTCTGTAATTATATACACCAGTAGAGCTTGACCTTTAGTGATTTTGACAACAAAGTAAGTTTGCTACTTTCACTAGTTCAAATTTCATTGTAAATGCATGCAGATGCGATGATTTTATTCTTGCTAGTCCAATGGTTTTGACTGTGTTACCATGTTGATCGTCTGACACTTTTGCAATGTTCCTTGGGTTATTATCTAGATCCTTCTAATGCTACACAAGCCAGCAAAGAGGAGGTGGACTCTCGCTCTGTCTATGTGGGGAATGTGAGTTCAATAACCATGTCCATTGTGTTTGTTTCCTTGTATTGAATTGCAACATCTTTGATTAATAGGTAAATCTGTGTTAGTCATGGTCTTGCTTTTTATTATTTATTCGTGAAGTAATGAACTATGTATTGTTATTGTAGCCAACTAATATGGTATCTGTTGAACTTTTTTAAATAAAAAAAATTTGATCCAAAGAAGAGAACTAAATTTGGTGCTTGCAACGTGACATCTGAAAACTATTTGATTTCTTTCTATGATTGTGTCTGCTTCATTTATGGTGTCTAAATATATGTACTGTAAGATTGTTTTTGTTATATTGGAAATATTTCTGGGTTTAATGGCTAACATTAAAAATTGTTTCTACCATTTCCTTATCACGGCCCTTGGTTAATTGTAAAAAAAAAAAAGGGATCATGGGCCTGATGTCACATCTAAGTGGCTTTACATGGTTCACATAAGTTGTTACCTTTACCGAGTTCATTCATGCATATGGCTTGCTTTGTTGATGGCTCTGATAGTGACTATTTTTTATTTGGCATATATTAACTTCTTCCTTGGCACGGTTGCATGCCTTGGTTGTTTCATGGTTTTCTATATTTAGCAGGCTTGTGTACCCTTGGATCACCCTAGGGAAGCCTCCTTTATCAAGGCTGTGACCTTACTGAGTAGGCAACCTTCATCTAACAATGCATGTACAGGCCTCATTAGCACCTTAATTACTTTCTTGGCATTGTACCCATGTGGACTCGTAGGTGACTGTGATGCAAATTCGCCCATGTTATTCTTATTTTTTTGAATCTACGCGTGTTATTCTTATTATAAACCAATATGGCCCCTTTCCTTTGAGGGGCTCTTCGGGGAGGCATTGGGATGGCAAAGAGTATTAACAGCTTTATAAGACTCCTTGACCATTGCCCTGTGCATTCGGGAAAATATTGTATTTCTGAAAGACACTTGCAAACCATCACAATTGTGTAAATCCCCCCACCATTTTTCTCATCAAATATTCTTTTGCGGAGCAAGATAGGAAAAATATCTTCATTTGGTAATGCATTGGTCCTCAACTGGAAACAGTAATACTCAAGGTATGTGAATCTGATTATCAAGACCTGCCGGTAGCATTCATTCACCATGTCTGATGTAGGATAGGCATGGATGCCTGACCATCAATTCTGAGTAATGCCGAACCAATATCAATATGCTCCTTAATGGATTGTTGATATGGCGTAACTGTGATCTGTTGGTTGTATTAATTTAATATTTGAAAACCCACATCCTGAAATTTGTCTACTGCATTTGGAAAGCAAGTGCAGTTGTTCCTTGAGGTGTGGATGAGTTATGAGACATGCATCCTCATGGACATGCATGTGGTGAGAGAGGGACATTAGTCCCTTGTGGTGGGTGTGAGTTCTGAGACACATCCTCGTGGACAAGCATATGGGGAGTGAGGGAGGTAAGGTTGGGGGCTAGTTTTGGGGTGTGGTTTTTTTTCTTTTGTGTGTGTGTGTGTAGGTGGGGGACACACATCTTCCTTGGAACTTGTCATGGGTCAACTAGAGTGATATCCTTTAGATCACTTTTTTTTTTTTTCTCTCCTGAGCTAAACATATTGGATTTAATTAGAAATCTTTATGTAACCAAGCAATTAATTCTGATAAAGTAATATATTTTCTTGATGACCTCAGGTTGACTACGCATGCACTCCAGAGGAAGTTCAGCAGCATTTCCAGTCTTGTGGCACAGTGAACAGAGTCACAATTCTTACAGACAAATTTGGCCAACCTAAGGGTTTTGCTTACGTTGAGTTCCTTGAGGTAGATGCCGTCCAAAATGCAGTTTTACTGAATGAATCAGAGCTGCACAGTCGCCAATTAAAGGTCTGAAACTATCAGCATTTTGCTTGATACACTAGAAGTTAGTTTTAGTCTCTCTCTCTCTTCCCCCCAAAAAAAACAAAATTTAAAGAAAAACAAAAAACCTCTCTTTCTCTGTCAGATGTGTCATGTGTTTCTCTGTGCGTGTATTATTTCATTCCGGTGAATGGATTGATAGTTGTGACTTGTGACAGGTATCGGCTAAACGAACAAACATTCCAGGAATGAAGCAATACAGAGGGAGGCGCCCCAATCCATTAATTGCTTCTCGAATCCGTAGACCATTTGTGCCACCTGTATATTCTCCTTATGGATATGGGTAGGCTTTTTATTTGAAGCTTTTGATATCTATGTTATTATCATGAAGTATTTTAGGTATTTCCCCTTATATTTAGTGTTCCCTTAGAATTTCTTCTGGAGATATGAACTTAAAGCGTAATAATAAGTACGAGTTCATTAGAAAACTGTTATGTTTTAAATTAGGGAAAATTCATCAAAATACCCATGAGAGAAACTATTTTTCTGTTTCTTACTAGTTCTTTCCCTTTCATAATTTTTCCGTTATTTAATTAAATTTCAATCCAATGTTTTCTGAGAATTTCTAAAGCCTCAAGATATTTATCGCCAGCTGGGGCAACAAATAGATGCATTTGTGAGCGAATGATACTAATGTAAAATGAATGAGCACTGATCTCCATTGTCCATCAATCCTAATTAAAGCTTAACCAGTGCTAAAGTATACCCATTTACAGCTCACTGAAGTTTTTGACATTTATTAGTGTTGATGGATGATAGGGATCAATGGTAACGAAATGAATGGTTGTTGTGGAGGTTAATGTTGACATGCTTCTTTTAGGTGAAGCATTAAGCATGCAACTCCCTCTCTCTCTCTCTCTCTCACACACACACACACACATTAGCCTGTGTTGTTTTTTTTTTTCTTTTCTGAGGAAGTCCTCTCTGCATGTTAATTGTCTTTCTTTCTGTTTCATGTGAACAGGAAGGTGCCTAGGTTCAGGAGGCCGACAAGGTACCGGCCCTACTACTGAATGGCCCTTGGCCCATCATAAGGACCGCAGATATTTATTTGGAATGGTAATATGTTAATTTTGCGGAGGACCCACAATATTTGCTTGGGTTGTGTTCTTCAGAATGTAATTGTCAGGAGAGTGGGAGATAAGAGACTTTATTTAGAAGGCTGGTTGCCTTGCTGCGATCGAGTTGCTAGTGAAACACGCATGATATTCGCTGATACGATACGAGGCTGAAGGTTCTGTGGCCTTTCTCCCACTTGGTTCACCTCACTGATAAGAGGTACAGTGGTATCTGCAAATGTTTCGTGCAGATGTATGGGGCCAAATCAATTGTGAATCAGTGCATGAATTTGGCTCTCTATGATGGATTGAGCTCTGATGATTGGATTTCAGATAGAAACCAGTGGATTTGTGAGCAGTAGGGTAAAAAAATAGTGATGTCTTTATTTGGGATTAAGTTTCGAAATGTCGTATCTGAACTTTATTGAAGGAGATACTGATGTCGAATCGTGCTTTGATGGTCTTAGCTAATTCGTGTTTGAAGCGTCCCGTTAATTTTTAATGCCTTGATCCTCTTTAAAAAAAGAAAAAAAAAAAAGAAAAAAAAAAAAGAAGGTGGAACATGCAAGTAAACCATATATACCTGTGGTTAATGGGATCAGGTACACCACTGGCTCGTACATGGTTCAGCGGATGCTCTTGTGGTGCACCATTTGCATGTCTTGCAGAAGAACGAATGTTTATTTAACGGGATAGATTTGTAATATCTGAATGGTTTAATGAAGCGAAAAACATATATGGATTTATGTTTGGAAAAACTTTATATAAGGTTGTATAACTGTGATTGTTAGAATCTACACCATCAATTTTATTTAGACAGTATTGTAAAATGTGGATTTAAACAAGGTAAAGCGTAATTTTTGTCAAGAAATGTGATTTTAATATTGGAAATATTTGTGATAGTTTTAAAATATGTTCTTATTTTTAATTATAAAATTTAAAGCTTAAAAAATAGAGTAGATCCATGAAAGCTTGAAAATATTAAAAATTGGTGGCCCAAAAATGTATTATAAGATACACTTTTTTAAAAATTTGAAATCTACTTTTTTTTTAAGTCTGCATCTTGATGTTGAGAGATGAGGATATTTGAGAATAAAAAAAACCTCTTCTAGTAATATGTTTGAGGTGGAAACCTCTTTAGTAAAATGTTTGAGGTGGGCGCTATTTTGATTATTTAGAACCTCGCTCTATATCGCCTAGAGTGCAGACTATGCTCTTGTGGGAACAATATGTGTATCTACACCTTCACTCAAAATACTTGTTGAGGAGGATTTTTTTAGTCTAAAATTTTGGAAACTATGTAAGAATTAATAGATTATTTTTTAGAAAAAAAAAAGAATTTTGAGTTTTGTGGCACATCGATCTAGCCCTTAAAAAATTGTACGGTCTGTATACAATCTTGAGGCATTAATTTTGTTTTGCGAGTTTATTTCAGAAAAAACAAATTTAGTACATAAAGAGTTTATTTTAGAAACTTCAGATTGAAAAGTATCCCCAACATGTGCTTTGTCAGAGGGAGTAAGTGAATGTTATACTCCCTCTGGAGTAGGAAATCTTTTAGCTCGTCTTTAATGGAATTGAAAACTTAGGAAATATGGATTCACCATGTGGAAAAAGTTCCTGTAAGGTTGCACCTTATAGAAATAAGATTGTGGTGAGCTATACTGTCGATTTAATATGGACGGTGTAAATTAGATAATGCCACTTTTTGACATTATATTATGTGAAATTTGCATTGTCCAACTAAAATAAACAATATAGAACATCGCAGCTTAATAAACAATATAGAACATCGCAGATTTATTTCATTTCAAGTACGGTTGTTTCCTTATACAAAGTTCATATTTTCTGTTTTTTCTTTATATTGTGTACCACCCCACACCCAAAACCAATCACAAAATAAAAATAAGGGGAAAAAGTCAAATTTGCAAACAAAAGGTAGCTCCTTTGACGATTGCTTTACAAACTACTCAATAAATGAAAAGAAAAAGGTCGTTCATCAAAATGTCCATAAGAGCTAAACTATTCAACATATAACCCATTTACAACTATTCCAACAAACTATTCCAACTTATGATATGTGGTTTTTGACAAGTGTTTTGAAATTAAATCAAAAGAAATCGGTAGAAAAAAAAAAAAAAAATTTCTTTTTCTTATCACCAATTTTTGAATTAATATTAACAAACAAGCGAAAAAAGAAAAAGGAAAGTAATTCTAATGCTTACAAGGAAATTTTACCTTCTAAGCTACATTTTAATTGGCTTTAAATTGCCTTTAATGGGGATTACTATGATTATGGGGATGTTACCAGTGGCAGTGGGAAGTTGTTTTCAGAATAATATTAATATTTGTATTTCTTATTTGGAGTTTAACGATCAAAGTAATACATTATTTATTAGGAAATAATTTTATATTAACATCACTGAATATGAAAAACCAAACAAAGCTGATTCATGCTTTCTTTCATTATCATAAATGATGAAAATGAAAATGTATCAAAATACCCATTAGAGGAAAACTATTTAACGTTTACCCCTTTGTAATTATTCCAACTTATGATTTTGTCTTTTGAAAAATATTTTGAGTTAAATCAAATGAGTAGAATGTTAAATAGTTCCTCTCTTATGGTATTTTGTTAAATTTCCCACAATACAACTTACAATAATTACCAAAATTTATCCATAGATATTAAAAATCACCATCCACCTTAATAGCTCTAACTTAATCATCGCCAGTTCCTCATTAATTTCTTCCCGTTTGCCATATTAATATTTTACACTTATTTTTAGGTGATAGCATGTCTCTTCTCAAACTCAAATTAATAATTTTACTTCTAGATTGCATACGTTTTTTATTGCGATAATATCAACAAACCTTAAAATATCAGTGCTAAATTAATTTTAGTGGGATATTATTGGCCTTAAAATTTAGAATAAAATAAAAATATAAAGATAATTAGATTTAGTGAAGATAATCATCACCTAAACTTTTTCCAAGTCATCCACATGGAGTCATGAGAAAAATTCCAATGGTATATCTCAAGACCAACAAACGAAAGATAAAGAGTGGATGTGATTTGAAAAGAAGGCGTGCAAAGTGCTCCATCCAAACTTTTTGAGGGCCACTTGTTGGCCAATGGTGGTTTAGAGAACATAACTTCCACTCTCCCACATCTCCATTTTTTTAAGGGTGCGGTTTGCATAGATCCGAGGCCTTAAACAATCAAAGTAAAGCCCACCTTCAAATAGTATCGATAAATATGGTTTCAATACTGAAAATCTTTGTGATAGCCTTAAAATATATTTTCTACTTTAATTATAAAATTTAAAGCTTAAAAAATAGTGTAGATCGAGCAGATCAAAGAGAACTTGAAATCTTGAAAATTGATGGTCCACAAATGCATTACAAGATGCACTATTTCCAAAACTTGAAATCCATTTTTTTCTCATGTCTATGCATCTTGATGCCAAGATGATCAATTTGAGGATATTTGAGCATCAAAACAACCTCTTCTAGTGAAATTTTTGAGGTAGGCTCTAATTTGATTGTTTAGAGCCTTGGCTCTATATAGACTTTGTGCGTTTTTTTTAACCATGAGAACAAAGTTGATAGATAATCAACGCTCAAAAAGATTATAATAAAATGGAATATAAGAAGGCATAATGCTTGCCATGAAGTACCAATTTTCATTAGGTATGTTGACTAAAGTCACCGAAAGTTGATGAGTGGTCATGCAAATCATAGGAAGTTCCATCCCATCACTTCCTTAGCATAAGATTATTGCATATATATATATATATATATAGATAAAGGGTGAGGTTTGTATAAGGTTGCCTCTTTATATTGCGGAAGTAAGGCACACTCATACATTGTCAAAAAAAAAGTAAGGCACACCTATGAAATTTGATTAGAGATGTCGTTTCCGTGTCGAAAACTTTAGGAAAGCTTTAAAATCCCTTTTTATCCTCAGTTATAAGATTTAAAATTTTACAAATGGTACAGATCGAGCAAATAAAAAAACACCTGAAAATTTTGAAAATAGACATTCCACATAACTTGTTACAAGATATACTATTTTTTTTCTTCATATCCATTCATCTCAAGATATACTATTTTTTTTCTTCACGGACTTGGAATTATTTCTTTTCTTCATGTCCACTCATCTCAAGATCGAGATGATCAGCTGGAGGGCTCTCCTATGCCGAAACACTCTCCACTGTAGGATTTTTTAGTACACCTTACTTCGACAGTATAAAGTTGCATCCTTATATAGGCTTTTTCCTATATAAAATAGTTGAAGCTGCTGTTTATCAAGTGGGGTATAAGAATATCTGTCTTGAGTAGAAAAGGGTAAATGATTTGAAATGGATTTAGTTGGAAAGATTGCTTTGAAAAGTTAAAGGTCATTAAAAACTGGGAATCGGGCCCGGGTCTCTATTAGACTCAGGCGAGTACTGGTCAGATTGGAATTTTTAACAAGAAACATCAGAATCGCCGGCCTCCTGTTCAAGTCTGGACCCTAATCAAACATGAGAGTATGTCCAACTATTCAATTGCTCATAATGGTTTAATGGGTATTGCAATTAGTGATATATCGACACAATATTTAAATACAGGTGTCACGTGTTGGCATATGTCAACTTGTGTCATGTTTCGGCACATCTACTCACGTTGACACCACTTGATATGGGTGGGGCACTAAAATCTACTACAAATAATGAAAAGTTCAACTTAGGACTTTAATCTACAAGTGCTCAACAACGAAATCACGTTATACCTTCCACTTGCCCATTTATATGAATCGAAATACTATCAGTTACAAGAACATGTCTTGCCATACTTCTTTTTTGGAGAGGAATAATATAAATTATGATAAATTTGATGAATCATAAAGATTTTCAGTACTAAAATAACATCTTTTGATACTATTTAAAAGTGCACATTATTTTGATTTCTTGGGGCCTCAGCCTTATACAAACAACACCCTGATCAAAATAGTCTTAGCAAACTCATGGTGACCATTCCTATTATTACATGATGAAAAAATTCTTCAAGGAATTTGATTTATGTGAAAATGGAATCACACCTAATCTATCGTACCACAGCTATTCTATTATATTTCGCATCAAATGGTTAAGATTAACTGTGACCATCTTGTACCAAAGTTAAATGGTCTATTCTTTTCATTTTGGAATCTATTTTAATTTTTTCTAAATTTGGATTTCAAGTTTTGAAGATGCATAAATTGAACCATCCAAAAGTTATACATCTCCATTTAATAGTAGAACCTCTTTTCAGTCCATACAAAAATAGTACTGATGGTATTTATGCAGGATATAAGCAGGCAATTATCAAATGCCTCATGCTTTGGACTAGGCATCTTTGGATGTATATGACCTCAACTTTATGTAAACATTAATATTAGTTACAACTAGTGTGTAGATCTAATAAAACACCAGTTAGGGGGTACAATTTAGTTCGAGTGGAAGGTTCTAAATGAACAAGGGAGGGCCCAAAAGGACATTGATAGAAGCAGTGACAAAAGATATTGTGACTTTTAGTCTTACTGAAAGTATGACCCTTGATAGAGAAGAATGGATGAATACGATTCATGTGGCCGACCCCGAATAATTGATATAAGGTTTGGATGATGATGATAATAATGATTAGTATTAATATTACGAAAGAAATTTATGCTATATACCCAATAATTTGTGGATGGTCTAAGAAGAGTAAGGACATTAGACTTTCCCTTAACTCATCCCATGCCCGAGTAAAGGAATTGGGTTGTGTT